CAACTGGCATTTGCAGCATCATCTTCCACCACGTCCCACCCCACACAGCCACACACAGATAAAAGTACAGTCTCCAAGTCTCTTCATGCTCTTCTCTTCCTCTGAACACTCTAACCACTCATTCTCATGAGTCCTCTTAAACTCAAGAGATCTCCTAAGACAAACATGATTGCTCTTCTCTCTCAAACAGCACAGTATTATATTCCTCTTATGGACAGCACATAAACACTCGTTGCACATGTGCCCGTCACAGCCCTCTGTGATTGATAAACTTATACACACAGGAAGCAGAGGCTGAATGACAATCCCAAAGGATGCCGACAGACTCGATATTTAAGAAGATTTTTTTTTTAATGACAAAGGCAAACAAAGGAAAGCCTTCTTTTCTTCCAGCTTTAGAAGGAGAAGTCACATCATTCTGCCATAGGGCGATATGTGATCTTCACCTTTAAGCCAATCATCAATCTAGATCCACTTCCAAAATGATTTGGCTCAAAGCTTCTTGCTTATCTGAAGCACGCAAGCATTATTCTAAAAACTCTCACAAGCAGTATATACACAGTGGCCAGCCTGGTGGCACAGTGGTTCAGTTTGCACGTTCCACTTCTTGGTGGCCCAGGGTTCGCCGATTCGGATCCCAGGTGCGGACATGGCACCGCTTGGCAAGCCATGCTGTGGTAGGTATCCCACGTATAAAGTAGAGAAAGATGGGCATGGATGTTAGCTCAGGGCCAGTCTTCCTCAGGAAAGAGAGGGGGATTGGCAGCAGTTAGCTCAGGGGTAATCTTCCTCAAAAAAAAAAAAAGAAGTGTGTAAGCAATTTCTGATTCAGAAGTGTGAGAAAAGAGTGTGAGAGAAAGCAAAAGTGTTTGTCCCTCAACCTTCCCACAGAGGATAGGGTAAGAGCTGGTTTTTAAGAAAACACTTGTTTAAAAAAAGAAAAAGAAGTCCTGAAATGGGAAAATGAAAAGCAAGACTAAAGAATATAAAAGAAAAATATACATACTTTTTCGTGGTTCAATTTTGAAAACATTAATAAATTCTAATAATTTCACTCTATAATACTCATCTGTCCTTCTCAGACAGGACATTCCCGGAAATCAAGATCAGGGTGAATTTGTGGAGATTCATTGTACTACATGAATGGGTTAAGTACCCCTTCAAACTTCTTAGCATTTCACAATATTCCTTCCTCAATGTCTAAGATTTTCTCAACAAACATTTGACACCTATTATGTGCCACAAAGTTAGACAGTAAGGGAGGCAAAAAGAATAAGACAAAGTCCCTGCCTTCAAGGAGCTTACAGCCAGGTCTGGAGGGCTGGTGGGTACACATGTAATCCTGTTAACGAATGCTCTGGCGATTCAGGATCTGAGAGAGGGCACAAGAAAAGAGCAGTCAAATGGGAGAAGCAGTCCAGAAAGAATTAAGAGAGAAGGGGAACACTTCAGTAGGCGGAAGTGGAGACACATCTCAAGAGTGAACATCACATTCAAAGGCAAGGAGATGTGCGACATGGCCCATCAGAGCCTTGCTGGTCCAAAGACCAGCAGCAGCTTTATCATCTGGAGGTTTGTTAGAAATGCAGAATCTCAGTCCCCTGCCTAGATCCACAAAACCAGAATCTACATCTTAACAAGATCCCCAGGGAATTCTCATGCTCATTATCGTTTCAGAAGCCTGGATAGAGGACTTCAAAGTAGTGACTTGGTATGGCTAGAACACAGGATGCCATGGGAAGGAACTCATAAGAAGTGAGGCTCCATAACCATCACCAAATCACGATGCACCTTATCCTGGAACTAATGGGAGCCATCACGGTGTCTAACTATAAGTAGGAAAATGACAGGATCAAATATGAGGGAGACTAAGGAATGCTTTGGGGGTTGGAGGAAGATGGAATTCATTCCAGATGAAGTAGATTTAACAGGATTACTCACTTCTGCGGTCAATACACAGGGGTAGGCCGGGGCAGGGAGATGTCAATGAAATATAAATGCAAAATCTCTAGGAGCAGGAAAAAACAGCAACATTCACTAAAACAGGGAACACGCGAGGAACAGAGCTGGGAGGAAAGACAAGTCCAATGTGAGATGTGATGGGTTTGAAGTATCTGTAGTTCAACCAGGAGAGGTGTCTAGTAGACAATCTATATCCAGAGGAGAAATAATGCCATCATCAGATAGGTAGATAGAAGATGATGCCCTGAAATTGGAAGAGGTCACCCAGAGGGAATGAAAAAAAGTGAGAACACAAAAGGACTAAGGACAAAACCCCTAAGGACATCAGTATTTAACAGATGAACACAGGAAAAAGGAAGCAACAAAGCAAGTGAGAAAAATCCTAAAGAGAAGAAAGTCAAGAAGGAGTGCTGGGCCAGCCCTGTGGCCGAGTGGTTAAGTTACCACACTCCACTTCGGCGGCCCAGCGTTTCACTCATTTGGATCCTGTGCGCAGACATCGCACCGCGTGTCAGAACATGTTGAGGCAGCATCCCACATGCCACAACTAGAAGCATCTACAGGTAGAATATACAACTATGTACTGGGGGGCTTTGGGGAGAAAGAAGAAAAAAAAAGAAAGTTGACAAGAGATGTTAGCTCAGGTACCAATCAAAAAAAAAAAAGAGTGCTGTCATCAATGCCAAGAAAAGGATCTCACGAAGGGGGAAATAGGGAACAGTAATATGCCAGAGGTCAAGGCCTTAAAAGTGGATTTGGTAACTAAGAGGTCCCTTGGAAAAATTAAGTGAAATAAACTTATATCTCACACATACATAAATGATTAGAAGGATATATATATCTCAATGGCTCCCTCTGGATGACAGAATTAAAGGTGATTTTTAGTTTATTGCTTTCTCCCTGTATTTTGCAATTGTTCCTCAAGGCATATGAGTTTCATAAAAGTACACAATAAAAAATTAATAAATAAAACAATCCTGGCTTTTGCCAGTGCTGGGATTGCAGCAGGTGGAAGAGTGAATGCGACGTGAGGAAATGAAGGAGACAGGAGTACAGTCAGGGAAGAGAGGCTGGGAAGCATCTAGAGTAAGTCAAGAGTCCTGGGAGAGGTTTTATTTTTCAAGTGGGAAAGATGTGGGCATGCTTACAAGCTGTGGGACAGGAGACTGTACAGAAAGAGTGTTCAGGGGGAAAAGGGAACAAATATTTCTTGACTGCTTGCTGTGAGCTGAGCACACAGTGGTGAAGAAGACAAAGTTCTACTCTCATGCAACTCAGTTTCTACTAAGGAAACAGAGAACAGATGAATAATATGAGACAAGTGAGACATGCCAGTGATAAAACTAACATAAGGTAATTTTTTAGATTGAGTGTTGATGTAAGGCTTCTCTGAAGAACAGCAACCATAAAAAATCAGCTTTACAAAGAAGGCGGAAAAGCCTTATTACCTGTACAGATAATGAAACTGAGGATCACAGAGGTTAGGTAAGACTACACCGCAAGCAAAGGGAACTCGAGCCTGATGAATATCCAGACCAATACCCTTTCTATTAGACTGTGTTCCCTCTATCGTTTTTCTCAAATGCAGTAACAAAGAGGAATGATAACATCAACCCTCCTCCGGCCTCACAGGGATGATAAAGACTAGAAAAATAAGAGTAATTGGCACAACTTTCTCAAAACAAACTCTTTGAAAACCAAGAGATGTAGTTTTGCAAAAGCAGAGGCATGACTTCTGAAGGTTAACTGTTCAGGCCTACTGAGAAAATCTAGGCAGGCTCCAAGTCACAAGGAGGCTACATTTCAAAGATTTATAACGAAGTCATTAAGTCATAAAATATCTCTTCCATATAATTTTATGCGGAAAGTAGGTTTCCGGGCTGGTCCACAAAGATCATACAGAGTTATTACTATTATAGTAACTAATAAAGCACTTACTAGGTACCTGGACCTACCTTAAGTGCTGTATATAATCCCATGCAATACTACCAACACTATTACTACTCCCATCATGTAACCGAGGAAACTGCGGCCCACAGATATTCAGTAAGTTGTCCAATGGTATAACGCAAATAAACAGAAGAGCCTGTAGCCCAGCCCCTGCCTATTCTAGATCTTTGGCTCTTAATCTTTATGCCGTCTCCCAAAGTACCTTTATTTATAAACACTTGTCTTTCAAAATCAGCTTTTCTCCAACTTTAAAACCTCAGCACCCATCTCCCCTTCTCAGGGGGTCAGAATACTACTCAAATTAACACTTTCATCAAGCTTCCTTACCCCCTCCCTACCCCACAAAGTCTATATCAAACCCATCTCCTAATAAACCTCAATCCATGAGGGCATTTATTCACACATTTGACACCCAGTGAGAATTTAACTTGTCTTTGCATCCCCAGATCCCCACGGAGTGGCTAGTATGTGCTCATTCATTCATTCACTGACACTTACAGAGCCTACTGTGACAATTCCCAATCCATACCACACCATCGTAAATACTGGCAGGAAAACTATTCAAGAAAATGTAGCCAAAAGCCCAAACGACCATAACTAAACGTCCATCTCTAAGCTATCTCTAGCTCACCTCAAATTCCCAACCTATCCCCTACTCCAAAAACAAAGCTCTCGATATCTAAATCCTAGGTGGCTCCTGATCACCAAAAATGCTTGCACGTGGGGCAGCACCCAAGCCGGTCAAGCCCAAGGAGAAGGGGAACACCTGACCCCTGCAGTAGTCTTCAAAGCCCCCCTCAGCTTCATAGGCCACTGGTATTGCGAAAGCAGGAAGACCCAGTTCGGGGCGGCGAGGGCAGGATCCTAGCCGGAAGCAAGCCATGCGCGCGGCCATGACCTTCTGAGGGCGACCCCGTCACCCAAAAATCCCCAGGCGGGGAGCATGGTCCGAGGCCCCGGGAAGCTTGGCCCCGGAGCGGCGAAGAGAGCGTGGAGAGGGCACAGGCGGGACCCGGTCCCCACCAGCGTCCGACCCCGGGGGGCGCCCGCGCTGCAGGCGGGCTGGAGGAAGTGCATGGGCAACTCACCCGGCGGCGGGCCCGGGGCAAGCGGCGGGCAGACAGAGGGCAACACGAGGCCGACCCGGGCCGCCCGCGAGGAGGCGCAGGGGGAGCGGGAGGCCCGGGACCGCCCCGGCACGGAGGAGCCAGCGGGCAGGTCTCAGCAGGGCTGCCATGGCTCGACCGTCCCCACAGCAGGATGCACGTTCGGCTAGGACAGGGGGAGCACGTGACCGCGGGGTCGCCCGGCGCGGGAGAGACCAATGGCCGGGCGCGCCAGATGTAGGGGGAGACAAATGTTGCTTTAGCTTGGAAGATGGAAAAACCTATTTCTCCGACGAGACGTGAGCCCATGCCATGTTTAAATGATAAAGTAGCTTGATATAGTGTTTAAGGACGCTCCTCTTTCCGGCTTTTATCTTTCATCTCAGCAAGTTCAGTCGTTCCACCCCTGCGTTTTCCAGTTGGTAGAGTCGGAAGAGGTCGACTCCTCCCAGGTTAGCGCAGGGGCTTGCCGGGAGGCCAACTTGCAAGAAGCCCTGGGAACTCTCCAGAAGAGTCAACTGTGAAGATCCCGGAGTGTACGGGGTGATTCTTCGCCGAGTGCAGGTGCTGCAGCTGACGTTCGGCGCTTCCTGCTCAGCGCCGAAGTTGCCGCGCTACCTGATAGGAACATGCGGTACCTCTCAGAAATGTGAGACAGAAGAAACGTTGAAGACCTTTGCACTGTGCTCCGGGCCTCCGAGGTTATATATGATGTGATTATTGGCCTGGGGGCCGTGAAAAGGAATACGTAGATCCAAGCCTAAGTCCATAAGCAGTGCTTCGCTTTACGAAATAGATGCATTCTAGCAAAGGTGGTATAGTTTTAGAGCCGGAACTGAACTCATCTTTCCCGACTCCCACCCCGCCCTTTCCTTCAGTAAATGCACCGGCATTGGCACCGGAGTAAGATAACGATAGGACTAAGAGTCTGGAGCCAAATCTGCTCGCGGAACAGGAGGCCCTTGCCTTCACTGGGTTTAGGGCCTGGAAAGGTTCCCTGTGCGCACGTGGGAAGCCAGGAACAAACTTCCACTCCCCCTTCACCTAACTGTATTCCAGAAGTTTCCTCTGGAAGCCCTCCGCGGTAATTTCCCGTTTGGCTATTTCTCCCGGCGGACATCAAACTCCTTGAGAGCAAGGACTGTGACCTTTTCTTGTAGCGGAAGCACCCATCTACTGCCAGGCGCACAGTAGGTTGCATTAAATATTTGCTGAATAAATGTGTATTTTGAGATTATCTAGCTCACCTCTCCTTTGAGAGATTAGGGAAATTAGATCCAAAAAAGGTTAAATGATTTACTCTGGATTATACTACTACGTATTAGGAATATAGTTTATTCACTCATTCAACACCTTTATTAAAAACATATTCAGTGCCAGGCACTATTTGAGATGGGGATACAGCAGAGAACAAAACAGGCCAAGACTGGACTCATTAAGTGCTCCAAAGTTTAGTTTGGGAAGACAGATAAGGACTATGATATAAAAGAAATCAAGGTAAAGGGATTGAGGGTGGCATGTTTAGCCCCTTCAAAGAGCAATAAGGAGGACCCTGTAGGTGAGAGAAAAGAGCAGGGTGGGCAAGGGAGGAACAGTGGACCTGGAGGCCTGAGGTAGTGGCGGGGGCGGGGGGTCAGATCATGCAGGGTGTTATAGGTGGCTGTAAGGACTTTGATTTTTACTCAGAATGAGATGGGGAACCATTGGAAAGTTTGGTGTGTTGCTGTGATATGAGTCCTTTTGCATTTTTAAAAGATCTCTCTGGCTGCTATTTGGAGAGGTTATTTTAAGGGAATAGGGGTAAATAAAAGCAGGGAGACCAGTGAGGAGGCTCTTGCAATAATCCAGGTTAGAGGTGGTAGTGCCTTGGACTAGGGGAGTGACAGGTGAGATCATGAGAAAGGGCCAGGTTCTCACTCTCTTTAAAGAGTCGAATGAAGAGGATTTACTCATGGATTGACTGTGGGGTGTAAGTCAAGTATGACTCTAAAATTTGGGGCCTGAGCTATTAGAAAGATGAAAATGTCACTGATTAAAATGGAGGAAACTGAGGGAAAAGCAGGTTTAAAAGGTAAAATCAAAAGTCATCTTCCGGAATATTAAACTTGAGGTGCATGTTAGACATCCAAATGTCATCTTTGAGTAGGAGGTTGGCTGTCTGACATACAAGTCTGGAGTTCAGAGCTAGAGATACATTTGGAAGTCTACAGTCTATACCCAGTATTTGAAGCCATGGAAAAGGATGAGAGCATCTGGGAAGAAAATACAGATAGACAAGAGATGAGGTCCAAGGACTGAGGCTTGTGACATTTCAATATTTAGAGGATAATGGAGATGAAAATCCAGCACAGGAAACTGAGAAAGAATAGCAAGAGAGGTAGGATGAGAACCAACAGAGAGTGGTGACGTCTCAAAAAACAGAGAGGGAAGTCTTTCAAGGAGGGAATTATCAACCCCATGAAATGCTGCTGTTCTAGTCGAATGAGCGCTCAAGGTTGACCATAGGATTTGGCAACTCAGAGGTCCCCGGTGGTGCTGAGAAGAGCCCTTTTGGTGACATGTTGAGTCAAAAGATGGATTGAAGTAAGGTTAAGAGTACATGAAGGAGGGGAAAGTGGAGACAGACAGTGTAGACAAACCTTTTGTAGAATAAATGTACTGTGAAGGAAGGAGCAGAGATGGGGGTGGTATCCAGAAGGGAGTGTGAAGTCAAGGGAGGTTAATTATTTTTAAGATGGAAGAAATAATAGCATGTTTGATGCTGATGGGAGTTATCCGTATAATGTAACTATTTAAATAAAATTTTAAAAATTCAATTCCTCAGTAATTGACCACGTTTCACATACTCAATAGCTACAAGTATTGTAGCTAGTAGCTACCATATTGGACAGCATAGACAGAAAACATTTCCATCATCATAGAAAATTCTATTGGATGGTGCTGCAGTAGGGAGTGAAAAGTTGATAATGCGTGAAAGAGAGAAAGAGTACACTGAGTAGGCAAGAGGCGATGGGATCCAGTACCAAAGTGAAGGGATTGACTTTAGATAAGAATCCAGACAGTCCAGCGATTGTCACAGAAGGAAAGGTGTGTAGTCACAGATGCAACAAGTCTGGGAGAGACAGTGGTGAGAATGAGTGAGTGCTCTCTTCTGATTGCTTCTAGCCCTGAAACCCTTAATTCCCTACCAACATTCTCTCTGTTTCTGTACGAGGCGCCCCCTTGAAGTATGAAGCAACTGCTGATGAAATTTGTCTAAGCATTCATTTATTCACTCATGAATGTATTCACTATTTATTGAACACCCAAGATCTGCCAGGCAGGAGGCAGCCCAGTGGCACAGTGGTTAAGTTCGCACATTCCGCTTCAGCGGCTTGGGGTTCATCGGTTCGGATCCTGGGTGCGGACCTACACACTGCTTATCAAGTCATGTTGTGGCAGGCGTCCCACATATAAAGTAGAGGAAGATGGGCACAGATGTTGGCTCAGGGCCAGTCTTCCTCAGCAAAAAGAGGAGGATTGGTGGCAGATGGTAGTTCAAGGCTAATCTTCCTAAAAAAAAAAAAATCTGCCAGACAGCAAGTTAAGTGCTAGAAAAAATATGGGCAAAAGCAAGAGTAGTCCTTACAGTTATGGAGCTTACATTCCAGAGGGCAAGGCAGATATTAATCAAATAATCACACAAAATGAATTACACACTGAAACGAGTTCTGAAGGAAAGAGACATGTTTCCATGAGACAGTATGCCTCACCTGGGAGTCAAAAAGTTTCCCAGGGAAAGGATCCTTACATTGAGGTCTGAAGGATGAATAGTTGTTAACATGTGCAAGGTGCATGCACACGTGTGTAAGGGAGGAAGAGAGAGTGGTGTTTTCTTATTTTTCAGTTCACGCTTCCCAAGTTCTCAGATTTTTTAGACTACAGAAGCTGTGAAATGGAAGAGAAGTCCAGATTGATCCTCCTTGGTTTCTCCCTAAGCTTATTCTAAACTATGAAATGAATTGCAAATGTTGTTTAGAAAATTAGGGGTCCATGTCCCAGTGAATGGAATAGTCTCTGAACAGAATCTTATTAGGAAGGACAGTTTAGAAGCTAAACTTTGCAAGTGCAAGAAGCACTTAACTTCTTGGTTTTCTTATGTGTAAAACTGGCGATATCTACCCCTTCTAGGATTTTGGGGACTGTTAGATAAAATAAGTAAGGTACTTACAGTACCAGATACATAGGGAGCTCTGAAAAATGATATAGCTACCATTATTGTTGTTGTTGCTTTTCGTCATCAGGTTTAAACCTCATAACTCTGGGCTCTTCTCCAGTCTCTCCTTGGGGTCTGATTTTTGATACTAACATCTTCGCTGTCTAATAACCTATAGCTAGTGTCTCAAGCTCCTAACTCAGTTTAGTCAATTATTAACTGTTTAGTGTAAGCAAAGTGCAGGGTAAGTTACATCTCAGGGCAAAGAAGTTATGCATACCGCACTTGATGAGCTTAATTTATTGGGGAGGATAAAATACATATTGTATACAGATACCATTATATAAGGCGGTGTGATGAGTACAACGAAGAAGAGGCAGACCAAGTGACAGCTGGGCAGGAGAGAAGAAGGTGGTTCCATGATGGGAATGAGATTTCAACCCTTGGAGACTGGGGAAGAAGTGAAATAGTAGACATAGTGGCCAGAGGAGTTCTAGGCAGAGGGAACAGCAAGAGCAAAGATATGATGCTCTCCTTCCTGTACATACATCCCTCCTTAAACTGCAGAAAGTGTTCTTGGATGCAGAAGTCTGCCTGCAGTCTGTTATGTAAAGGAGAGGATCGCTAGACCAGTGACTTTCATGCTTCTGTGGCTGTGACCAATGGTAAGAAAATACATTTTATAAATGACACAAATACACACATACGAAAAGACATTTCATAAAACAATAATGAGCTTTACTACATATGATGCCCTTGGATATTTACTAATCCTTTTTTTTCTATCTTATTTTCTTAAAAACACTGATTGATCCTCATCTAGACAAACCAGCTATAAGAAGACATTTTTTAGACACTTGAGGTATATTGCACAATATCAAGAATTATTGCTAATTTTTTTAGGTGTGATAATGGACTTTTTTGTTATGTAAGAAAATATACTTTTTTAGTGATACATGCTGGAATATGTAGAAGTAAATTAACATGCTGTTTGGAATTTTCTTTAAGATACTTCCCAAAGTATAAAAGAAAGGACAAAAGGATATAAGAAGCAAACATGACAATATCTTGGTAATTGTTGAATCTGGGTGATGGGTGTATGGGAATTCATTTTACTCTTCTCTTTACTTTCTTATGTTTTTAAATGTTCATAAAGAAAAACATCTTAAATGCTGGTTGTATTTTTATTTCACTACTTCTTAATACAGCATGACTTGGAATTTGAAAAACACTGTACTCAATCATGTCAATATTAATGCCAAGTAAACAGAACCAGGCAGACAAATGTACCAGCCTGTACCTCTGAGAGCTGGAGACCTGGTCATGGGAGCAACATAGTCAATTGATTTCTCCAGCAAATAGTTGCTCAAACATCAAAACTTGCTGTTGTCGCTAAATAATTTTACATAAAATATGGAATATTTAAGATTGTAGCCATTACAATCTAAGACAAAGATTTTCATTTAAGACCAAAGTTTTTTTACAAAAAGAAACGTTTATCTTCAAAATTCTGAGCTGAAAGAATGATACTCAACACCCTGAAATCTACAAGGCAGTGAACATTAATCTCCTTTCTCTTTGGTCACTTAACGTTTTTTTGGCCTCGTAACAATTTATTATGAATTCCAAAGAATCAGAAAATAGAACTGAAAATTCATAATTGTTTGTCAGCCTTTTTGGAGTCTCCTCCAATTTTCACACAAATACATTCAAAATAATGTGAGCAAAGAACCAAGTGATTGCCTTGAGTTTAAAAGCCAATTTTGCTTAAAAGCTTTAACATATTTGAAGCAGCAGATGTAATGTTTAGCTATGATTGTATTTCCTCTTAAGGCAACTTGTCTGATGAATCAGGGGCTTCTTTCATCTGTGACTACATTTTTCATATCCAAATTTATTCATGTATGTAATTCCCAATTATTCAAAAAAAATGTTCTGCTCAGACCTTTATTTGCACACAGCCCCAAGATTCTCATTATAAGTGGAGGTCCAATTTGTCATTGTTACACCCTTCAGCAACACTTCTGTCAAACAATAATTCTTTCATAAGCTCACAAACCGGGAAGACAGATACAGGGTCATTTACTGTCAGAAAGTAACCGGCACTGGCGACAAGGGTTGTTGCTGATATTTTCCCAGTGTTACCATGTGTGAAGGCTGAAAGTTTATGTGTTTCCCACAGGGCAGATAGTGTCTGCATAAATCAATATAGGATAGTGGTCAAACATAATTGGCATTTCGATGTACTATACAACGGAGTCCCTTCAAGACAGAAAACAGTTATAATCCTTGTAATAGCTGAACGTAAACTTTAGGAAATGGTTATTAACAGTCGTTGTTAATTTCTCAAATGTGCCATGAGTCTCTTAAATATCCTGGTTAACTGATATTTTTTGTTTGTTTTGTTTTTAAGGAACTAGAAAATATATTTAATTTTCTCTGAGCAATAGATAATGTGGAATTTCTGTTTTAGCTTGTGTGTCTCTAAGGGTTGAAAATAATTTATCTTTTACCAGTTGGACACTTTCATGCAGCTTGCCTTCTAATAATTTCAGTTTAATTTGGAGAGGGAGACAAGAGTTTGCCTGGGCTTAGTAAAGAATATATGGATTTCCCATTGCATTAAGTTGCGAAGACAGTGCTTTGGCTGTTGTTCTTGGCTGCCCATCTTGCTTTCCAGGCCTGATTGGGAGGAATGCAGGATGTAGAAATGGTATATGTCTGTCTTTGGGTTGTTTCCCATGAAAGAGTGAGGGGTGTGTTTTCAGTTGAGTGTGGGACAGTTGCGTTATGTTCAAGTGCTTTTTGAATTATATGTGAGAAGAAAGGTATGTGTTTATTGCTGCATGTTAGGAGTAGACTTTGTCAGCATTTTTTTTTTCAGTTGTTCCACAATGTTTCCCCTGCATACATACTTCTGATTTCCAGTATCTCCCCTCCCCGTCCCCGCCCGCAGTCTGGTCACAGGGATGAGCATATGACCCAGGCCTAGCCTATGAGACAATCCCATCCTTTTGGCTAGAGTGATTGTTTAGGGGATCCAAACTAAGGCTGTTGGTGTAATTCATTGAATTTTACTAACTGCAGCTAGTAGGAAAGATGTCTTACCCTAGAATCATTGAGCTGTGAAAATGTGGAATCAGTCATTGCTGGTGGCCATTCTCCTTGCCCCTTGAAGACACCTGTATGTAGTAGGAGAGAATGAGAACAACACGTAGAGAAGCAGAACCAAGGACTGAAGAGAGGCTGGTGACTTCATTGGCGTTTCTATATCCAGTCCTGCTCAAAGCCATATTTGCCCCTGGACTTCCCAGTTTCATGAGCCAATAAATCACTGTGTACTTAAGCTACTATGAGAGGTTTTCCTGTTGCGCTAGCAAGAGGCCCAACTTAGTGCCTGTTGAGTTTGGATAGGATCGTCATTCTCTGGAGCTTTACGTTTGATTCTTTAACAGCATGCTTCCTCTAAACATGAGTATGTGTTGATTCTTTTATTATTATTATTTACATGTTTTAATTCGTTCTTTTTGTTTTCATAATTTCTTCTTTTATCATTTTGTTGGTTATAACTTCATTACTTTTTTTTTAACATACTGCACTGAAAATGCTGGAAGATTAAAATATAACCAAGCCCTACTCCAAAGTTTCAACAAAAGGGAACAAGTCAAGGATAACTGAGTTTTTTAAAAATCAGATATACTCCAAATTGAAACTAACACACCAAAATGTGGAATCACAGCAAAATAGTGCAAGAGATTGAGGAGAGACACCCTAGAGCAAAAGTGAAATGGACTCTGACCAAGTGGCTTGGAAAAAATAAGACTTTCAAAGAAAAAAAGTCTCAATTAAATTCTAAACTGCGCGCCACCACACCATCTCCCCCAATATAATTAGCTGCTCTAGAGGGCTGAGTTTCTTCAACTTTTACAGATCTCATGACATATATATTTTACATAAATTCCCCAGGTGGTTCTGATGCACTCCAAATTATAAATTTATGGAGTGAATTACATAAATTAACTCATTTAACTTTCATAATGGTTCTGTAAGGTGGATTCTATTATTAACTACATTTTATAAAGAGGAAACTGAGGCACAGAAAGGCTAAGTTGCTCAAAATCATACAGCTAGTCAATGGTTGAGCCAGGTTTGAAACCCAGACAGGCTGGTTCCAAAGCCACCTGTACTGTTTTAAAATAGCGGCCTTAATGCAAAGGCACAACAATAATGGTGACAGTGGCGGGCAGGCCAGTAGAAGACATATTTGGGTTCATTTGGAGTCTTTTGCTACTCTGCCTCCCAGGAACTCTTCCACCCCAGCCTACACTGATTTCTCTCATTTCTGAACATCTTATACTCAACTTACAATCAATGTCTCACACTTTGGCATTTAATTGTATCCCCTTTCATTCTTTTTTTTTTTTTTAGAAGACAGGAGCGCTCATTTCTTTTTTTTTTTAAGATTGGCACCTGCGCTAACATCTGTCGCCAATCATTCTTTTTCTTCTTCTTCCCAAAGCCCCCTGGTACATGGTTGTATTTTCTAGTTGTGAGTGCCTCTGGTTGTACTATATGGGACACCAGCTCAACATGACCTGATGAGCAGTGCCATGTCCACGCCCAGGATCCAAACCAAAGAAATCCTGGCCTCCGAAGCAGAATGCGCAAACTTAACCACTCTGCCGTGGGTCCAGCCTCTCCCCTTTCATTCTGTTGGTCTTGCCTTTTTGACTGTATCAGAAATTGACAGGGGCTGGCCCCGTGGCCGAGTGGTTAAGTTCACACGCTCCACTGCAGGCAGCCCAGTGTTTCGTTGGTTCAAATCCTGGGTGCGGACATGGCACTGCTCATCAAACCACACTGAGGCAGTGTCCCATATGCCATAACTAGAAGGACCCACAACGAAGAATATACAACTATGTACCGGGGGCTTTGGGGAGAAAAAGGAAAAGTAAAATCTTTAAAAACGACAAACAAAAAAAAAAACAAAAAAAAAGAAATTGACAGAGAACTCATCCAGTTTTACTTCTCCCCTTGCTTGTAACACCTGCTACAATGCACCATTAAGTTATTTGTTGACCAGATTTGGAAGTGCTAAATTGACGTTAGAAACCTTTTACTTGTGAATTTTAGTTTCATTTAGGACTGAATTAATGAGATTGACATTACATTGTGTCAGTTCCTATCCTTTTGTGGTTTTAGATGTTTAACCAGATCTTTCTTTCCTTCAGTTACATCAACTATCCTTTTGTTGATCTGCGCTACTCAGAGCCCACATTTATTTTGCTAATCAAATTGGTGCGGAAACATTCTTGTTGAACGGTTCTTAAAAGATTTTCCTTTTGAGAAAGCTTCCAGCAAGCTCTTTCCTCTTTGACTTTTGTTTGCCTCCTAGAAATGCCCATGCTGGGACAAAATTACCTTATCCAGATGGCAGAGATTGAAAAAGACATTCTAATTATCTGTCGATGGTAAATCTAAAACTTGTTTGGAAACCCATTTGTTGAGCTTGTGAATGTTCAGAGGAAAGAGTGGTTTACCTAGTCCCACTAAAATAAGCTTGGTATGTGGAAGTGCTGTAGGCTTGATTGCATTGAATTATAAATTGACTCATTACTAACTTAACCTCTGGGAGGTTTTCCGTGATTGTTTTATTCAGGTTTACTGACTACACTGCCCATAGCAACTCTGGCAATGATTCCCCTAGCGGCGCAAAGGGGCTGCCCAGCTGCAGAAATTCACGACGGCTGCATTTGCCTGCAGAGTTTGGAAAGATCTAAGGTCTTTGGAGACTAGAAATGTGTTTTTTCCTTGTCTTAACTGGCAGTATGAGCCTCTGGCATTTCAAAGTGCAAGTCATTAGTGTCCACTGGGGTAATGTTAATCTGTCTGTGTTTCAGTCTCAGGACATTTTCCAGTTGCTTCTGCCACAACAATCTCTGCCATCTCAGTGCCTCCGATGCCCCTTGTGAATTCAGGAAGCTCTGCAGTGCCAGCAGGACTTCGCAAAAACCGGTTGCTAACTTGTCTTCTTTCTCTTCCATCTTCATCTTTAAAGAAATCTCAAAGCTTGTGGGGCTAAAAGGTGGGGCTCCTGTTTGGCATTTTCAAATTTGAACTGAGAGAAACCTGTTGTTTTTTTTTAATTCTCAGTGGGAAGGAGACTTTCTTTTATTTTGAATTTAGGGCTTGAGTCACACAGTCTGGGGAACTTAAGCTGATGTTGATCACATTCAGGAGAAATATAAGAGTAGAGGACGGAGAGGAGAGAGATGTGAGAATTGCCAGAAAGCAAACAAAAACAAGGCACTTGAATGTTGGAAGAGACTCAGGAAATCCAGAAGGTCCAGGTGATGCTTGAAATGGGTGTAAGGGTCAGAATTGTCAGGACATTCTCTCCTCCTTCATCCTCCTGTAATGGCTAAGCTGAACCCTCTGCTGTCTGAGCTATGGTTTGGTGGGGGGCCAAAAGGGAGGAGAGCATTCTCCTTTCATCAGATCGGTCCAGACTTCCCAGTGTGTTAATATGATGTGGAGCTAAACCAGACCGAAGAGCTAGTTGACAGTTGTTAAGAGCCTTGGCCTTTTATTTAATCATCAGAAAAACCAAAGCTCGTAGGTGCTGGTAAAGTGCCAGATTAATTATTCAGAAACAAATGCCTGGGATTGGACCAAGTGTTGTCTCATTAGCATGCAGTGTCAATGCTGGAGTCTGGTTAGAAAAGCCACAGAGACTGCAGGAGGGGTCGATGGAAGGGAACTAGGAGAAAAATAAAATTAACTTTCCCTATATTGTGCCATGAAATCTCATACTAATAGAATGCCACCCTCCCCAGTATAGGATACTCTCCAGTAATGTTCTGGAGGCCCTGTTCTGGAACATGCAAGACAATTATTCTACCAGCCTTGTGCATCTGTGCCCATAAACCTGACCTTTGTTCTTATAATCCATTGTGTAAGGCCAGTCCTCCCACTTATGTTCAAATCTCCTCTCCTCTTGCCTACTTAAGGACTTTACTCCTGAAATCCTCTTTTCTTTCTCCTGTACCAGTAAGTTCCCCTCTCTGCCAAATGATTCCCATCACCATGCATTCTAATATATTTTCCATCTTAAAAAAACCTCTAGACTCTAATTACCCCTCCAGCAACTCCTGTTTTGTTTTTTTCCCCTTATATTAAAATTCCTGAAAAAAGTTGTCTATGCTGGTTTTTCCTCTACTTCATCAGTTTCCATTCACTCTTGAACTTATTCATCAGGCTTTTGTCCCCACCATTCCACTTACCACTACCTTTATGTAGCCAAATCCAGAGGTGAATATTCCTCCTAGGTCTAATTTACTGGATTCCCTCCTTATGCCAACCTCTAAACATTATAGAGCCCTGGGCCTCATCCTTGGGTTCTTTCTCTCTCTAACATGGAATCTCCTCTAGTCTCAGGGCTCTATATACCATCTTTATGATGGTGACACCCAAATTCCTATCTCACGTCTCCCTGAGGTCCAGTCTCCAATTCCTACTTGGATGTTTAATAAATACCTTTGACCCAAACTGCTTCTCCCGCAGTCTTCCCTGTCTCATTCATGGCTATTCCTATCTCCTAGTTCCTCAGAGCAAAAACCTGAAAATCATATTTTTTCCTCCCCTCTCTCTCACACGATGCATCCACTCCATTGACAAGTCCTGTCAATTCCACCATCAAGATCTATTGCACGTCAAAACACTTCTTGCCACCTGCATCATCACCTTCCACCACCATCAGCTCTCCCCTGGACTGCTGTAATAGCCTCGTAACTGCTCAACTGCAGTCTGTTTTCCACACAGCAACCAATGTCATATTTTTTTAAACGTAAATCTAATCATTTTATTCCCCTAGTCAAACTCTTTATGGCTTTTCCATCACAACTAGAACAAAAATCCAAAGCCCTTACCATGGCTGCATGAGATCCTACCTGACGTGGCCTCTGCTCATTTCTTCAGCTTCACTAACTTGCTCCCTCTTGGTTCTTCTTTCCACCCACAGTAGCCTTCCCGTGATGTCTCCAACACCTAAAGTTTGTCTGTCAGATATCATAGTCCCAGATTTCACTTACATTAACAGCATATCATTTACTGAGTTCCTACTACAGGCAAGCCAGTACACTAGGCATTTTACATATATATTTTTTATCCTAACCATGACCCCTCACCATAGATATTATCATCTTCTCTTTACAAATGAAGAAACTCAGACTCAAAGATGTTAGGTAATTTGCCCAAACTAGCAGAGCTGGACAGTGGTAGAGCTGGGATTCACATCCAGGTGTGTCTGGTTTTAGAGTCTAAACTCTTTCCACTGTATTATGCTACTTCTTTGTGACCAGGATAGACCAGTGTGGACTTAATGCCCTCAGCAAAATGTTACTTTTTTTTAGGGGGGTTGTGTGTCTGCTTATGTCCTGTTACTCATTATAAAGCTGGCTTAAAGCTTTTGAAAGAAGTTGCTGAGAAATTGATCATGTTTGTAAACTCCTTGGATTTCCAGAAGAAAAGTGTGCAGGGGTAGTGGCCATGGGGGTGCAGCAGGGGGTGGGTAGAGCATCTTCCCACCTGAGTGATGGAGCCTCTAGGGCTTGGGAAACAAGCCCTGGGGGAACAGCTTCAGTGAAGGCTCTCTTTTGTCTCCAGATGCTAATACTTCTGGATTCAAAATCTTTTCTGTCTTTGACTGGACCCAGAGATAATAAAACAAAAAACTTACAGCATATAATTTGGCATTTTACTGGTATGGTAGGCTCACAAAATTTTGTTCTCCCTGACAAGGCTCAGATAATTCTATCAAAATAAATCTCTGAAGGAAAAAAGCTTTCTTTTAAAGTCTATGAGAAGCCTTTTCAAGAACAAAAATAACACTTAAAACCGATATTCTGTGTATCTTCTTTTTCTTCTCTTTTTCAGAAGAAATTCTGCCCTTTCTGATAATAGAAAATAAAAAATGTCGAAAAATGTCAAAATTTAGCATACTGTAGAGGGTGGAAATTTCTTCCAACACTGTACTTTGAATTTTAAAGCGTTTTGGGCACAGGTTGTTCAGGAGTCAGATTTCTGCGTTCGCGTGTATTCTTTTCCAGTGCCCATGTTGTTGAATGGCTTCACGGTATTTGCGCTCATCATCAGACCTTCACTAAGAGCATGACTGTATTAGTCAGGGTTCTTCAGAGAAACAGAACCAGTAGGATATATATAGAAATATGTAAGAGGAGATTTATTGTAGGAATTGGCTCACAGGATTATGAAGGCCAAGAAATCCCACAAACTGCCATCTGCAGGCTGAAGAACCAGGCAAACTGGTGGTGGAATTCAGTCCAAATCTGAAGGCCTGAGAACCATGGGAGCCAATCCTAAATCCAAGTCCAAAGACCCAAGAATCATGGGGCTGATGGTGTAAATCCCGATCTAAGTCCAAAGACTTGAGAACCAGGGGCTCTGATGTCGAAGGGCAGAAGAAGTTGAATGTCCTAGCTCAGGTAGAGAGCAAATTTGCCCTTCCTTTGCCTTTTTCTTCCATTCAGGTCCTCAGTGGATTGGCTGATGCCCGCATCAATAAGGTTGATCTTCTTTACTCAGTCTACCGATTCAAATGCTAATCTCTGCAGGAAACACCCTCACAGACACACCCAGAAATAATATGTTACCAGTTGTCTGGGCATCCCTTAGCTCAGTTGAGTTGGCATAAAATTAACCATCACAATAACCATTTCAAGAGCTAAGTATTTCAACGTCTTCTCCAAATGATCTCTCTTATATTTACTTTCTCAGGCTTTATGGACAGTTCTCTGCCCAAAATGTGCTTGATCAGAGGTGGCCAGTTTCTTGCACACAGCAAGGAAAGTAGACAAGTAGACTAGCTGAATTTTGTATACATTTCAGTAAAGCCACATTTGCCATGTGTTCAACATTTTGCTAGGTGGCATGAAGGCTACAGTGAAGAAGAGAGCAAAATCCTATTTATTGAGAGTCTATTGTATGCCAAATAATTTATACTGCATATATAATTTCATAATATATAGGGTAAATATTTATGCTTCATGGTTAGAGAAGAAGTAAGGCCCCAAAAGGTTAGGTACATCACTCAAGCTAGGGAATGGAGGAGCTAAAATTGAAATCGAGAATTGTCTGATACTAAAACACATGGCTTTTCTATTGTACTACATTGGCACAGAATTAAAGTTGAGATTTCCTTCCAAATGTGCTGTGGTCCAAGATGAAATGCCACATTTGCCAAATAATAAATTCTGAAGGAATTTGAAGAGGAAGAACTAAAAGTACTTGGATTATCAAGGAAGGTTTGTTTCATTAAGGAGGCAGGGTAGGAACTGGGCCTTGAAATCTGGGTAGGGTTTTTATGGGCAGAAAAGACTCATAGAAGGTGAGGGGAACTACAGTCTGGAAAACAGAATGAGCTAAGAAATAGAGGGGGAATGGCAGTAGCATGTGACAGGTGAAGAGGCAGTTGCTCACTGTTGCTGAGAATATGTGCTGAAAGAAGGAGATAAGGCTATGCAGGTATTATGGTTGGAATGTAGAGTACTTTCAAAGCCAGACAGAGTTATAAGTAGAGAACTCTGAATTCTCTACATACATTGGGTTATGTAAATCATAATTTTGTGCTGCAATATAGTAAAAATTAAAGTTACTCCTCAGATAGAAAATAAAATACACACAGCTATGACCATTTTGAAGTAAGTGCTCACAAGGACCTTTAATTCCCCATCATCAGTGTCTCAGAGTTAAGAGAAACAACCATGTCTTAGTGAACAGTGATGTGTCAGCACCATGGACAGCGATACTACGGCTACAGCCTGCATCTCCACGCACAGGAGTTTAGACTTGACGTAGTAGATCTGTCACACCAAATCAGTGAATTTCAAAGACTAATCCCTCTACCAAGCTTCCCTTTCTTTGGGCTCCCACCAGGAAGAGAAGAGCCCCACATGTTCTCCCTTTAGAGACTTGATGTACAGATGCGTGCATATCTGCATGCACACACACACACACACACACACAGAAAACTTGGAGCTTTCAGAAAATTAAAACGAATTCTTTTTA